TATATATATATATATAGTAAAAGTAGTCTATGAAGTCATCATTGATCTTTTCTAAGTAGACTTTTTAATGTTGATATTTTATCTCATTTCTCAATGTTAGAATACGGGTAAACTTTAATTTTGGTATAATATGTAGAAAATGGTTCAATTTTATGCCAGAATATGGGTTTCTTTTGGAATTTAGATTGGAAACTTTCTAAAATTAATGATTTTATAATTTATATTTTAAAATTATATATTGTATTCACACAAATTGTATTCTGAGTATGTTGATATTAAAACCTTTTTTCCAAAGACATTAGTATCATGCCTATTATTTCCAAAAAATGTACATGAACATTTCAGTGGAAGTCCTTCCTCTCTAAGTTGACCCTCTGAGATACTTCTGTAGAAGTTCTTCTCCCTAAATTGAAGCAAACTGTAAATAAAAATATGTAAAGCCTGGAAGAAGAATGTTCATTATCATTTTTGTTACTTATATCTAAACATCCATTATAGTTTATTTCCACTGTTTTAAATACTGGTTATGTAATCTAAATCAGATATACTAAAAAGTCTGTCTACCCTGACAATAATTTGAGGCTAACAAAAAGATTGCTTTGTAGATACAATTATCAAAGCATTATTCTAATAAAAAGGGATATAAGATGTGGTTTTTCTTAATTTTTGTCTGATTAAAATATTACTTAATACTTTAATTCAAAACATACTATCTTAACATTCACTAAGAGACATTGAGCAAACTAGAACTATACAGACATGATCCCTGTCCTCAAGGTTACTGGGGGAAAAATACTCCATTTGTTTATTCCTGCCCTCACTGTTCCATACCCTCTTCCTAATGCCCTTTTAGAATGAGTTGACTCTAATTCAACATATCAGTCCTCAATTTACTGCCTAGGCCTCAATTGTGCTCAATAACTTTTTAAAAATCTTTGTGTTTAATGTCAAGAAAGTAGATATATGCCTATCAGATTGTCAGTGTAATTATTTAGATAATACTTCAAACTTTAACTCTTCCATTCTCTTCAACTTCCTATTTTTCAGGTGCTTCTTAACCATCAAACCTTTACAGATTGCCTTTCACTTAGTTTGGTAACAACAAACTCCTTATCATCCTTCAAGCCTTAGCTCAAACACTCGCTCTCTGACACCTTCAACATAGATTTTTAACCTTTTTCATCTCATGGCACACATTCATTACTAAAATTCTGCGGCACACCAAAAATACATATTTTTTGGTCAATCTGACACACACAAAAAAGGTATAATTTTTACTCATTCACAGCAGATGTCTGTTGTGTTGGCTGTAGTCATCTTTTTTTTTTTTAATTTGACAATCTAAAGGGAAAATAGTCAGGTATTGTATGTTTTAAGATTCTTACAGCACACCAGTTGAAAATCACTCCTTTAACATTCCGAAGTGACATAGCTGTTTTAGTCCTTGAATCCTGTTTTATACATAAGGAGAAGTTGGATAATATAATTGTCTACATATCTATTT